CTGTAACTCATTCAGAAACAAACTAAAAGTCAGTATAACACTCAGAGCACAGATATAATGGGGCCCCAAGTGTGTGAAGGGCCCCGTTTCCTTGTTGTGTTGATGCTGACGGTTTTTAAAGATCTCTTGGCTGCATTTATATTGTATTTAATATTTTGTACTGTTCTAAATGTTGGCTGTTTTTATTGTTAGCTGCCCAGAGTCACTGGTCTGAGATGGGCGGCTATATAAATTGAATGAATGAATGAATGAATAAATAATATGATCTCTTTGAATTCCTCCAATGACCTACCTGTCATTTCTGGATCAGACACAAAAACAATTCCCCAAAGAGGGTATTACATTAATGAAACCTGGAGAACACTAGCACAGGCACTGCCACCTCAGTCTGAGAAACCAGAGGAAGAGCTGGATTCAAAAGCATTCCCGAACTGTGTACATGGTGCTTCTGGAATATGCAGACCCATTCAGAACAGGACCTTTCAGTTTTGTGGAATTTCTCACTGACTTGAATCCAAACCATATTCCCTTGGCAGGGGCCTATTCTCTGTGAAGCTCTGTATTCAGATTTGCTGATTTGGGGGGATGATTTTTCCTAATTACCTCTTCCCTCATCAGTTCTTTGGAGCTGAAAGGCTGCAAGGAAAAGTAATCACTGAGCCCTGCTTTCAGTTTTTCCAACAGGATTCACTCTATTGGAGCAATTCCTTTTCCATGGAAGTTCAAATTTTATAATGCAGAAAGAGCATATTCCTCATTTTTCTGAATTGTGAAATGGTGGGCATGTGCAATTATTACGCTAAACCAGTATCAAGATGGTACAAACAGCATGTTTCTTCACCTCTTTGAGTTGGTCTGTGCTGCCCCAAGATGCCGAGCGCTTATGAGATCCCTTTTTCTTTTCCAAGTATTCTTCAGCCCAAGCACTCTCAGTCTTAAAAAAAAGAGAGATGCAAAAGATTTAAAATGCATGTAATCATACACTTACTATATGCAGGCTAGATTAAAATCAGCTTTCTAAAGTTATAGATCAGCTTTTATTCAGTTATGTCCTTCAATAGTCTTAGAAAGCCAGTTTGGTGTAGTGGTTAAGATACCAGGCTAGAAACCGGGAGACTTAGGCATGAAGTCAGATGGGTGACCTTGCACCAGTCCCTCTCTCTCAGCCTTAGGAGGAAGTAGGCAAGGGCAAACCACTTCTGAAATCTTGCCAGGAAAACTGCAGGGACTAGTCCAGGCAGTCACCAGGAGTCAACACTGACTTGAAAGCATGCACGCACGCAAACAAAAAAGGCATACAAAATCTAAAAATGTATCTATCTTTATAATACATATGCATACTCACAGGATAACTATTCATCTAATAGTCACATCATCCAGCCCATACTTTTGCTAATTAGCGTATTATGGAATACTTTGTCAAATGTTTTGTGGAAGATGTATTTCTCCATAGCCTTACTAAGTAAGTAACCAAAAACCAAGATAGAACATACGAAGTCTAATAAGACTTGTTCTTGACAAATGTATGTTGACTTCCAACAACCATTTGTTGTTGTTTTCAAGGTAGATATAAACTGATCTTCATGAACTACTCTAGAATCTTCCCCAGCATTGGTGTTAGACTGTCTGATCTATAGTTCTCTAAGTTCCCCGTGTTCTCTTTTTGTCCTCCTATTATCAAGACAGTAGATACCCTTCATTCTCCAAATTTTCTCAGATGTGTACAAAAATCCCAACACAAACAAAGACGATCAGCAAGTTTTTTCTATAACCTAGCTGGCTTACATTTCTGCCCAGGGACAGTCAATGAAGCTGTGAAGTGAAGTGAAGTGAAGTGAAGTGAAGTGAAGTGAAGTGAAGTGAAGTGAAGTGAAGTGAAGTGAAGTGAAGTGAAGTGAAGTGAAGTGAAGTGAAGTGAAGTGAAGTGAAGTGAAGTGAAGTGAAGTGAAGTGAAGTGAAGTGAAGTGAAGTGAAGTACACACACACATACCCTCTCACCCCTATGAGTGGTATGTATCTCCTTCAATGTTGGGTCCTCTACCAGAGGTCTGGGAGTTTGAGGGTTCTGTGCAGTATCTTAGCTGTTCCTAG